TGCGTGAAGAAGTATTTCAGACTTTTGTGATCCGTGTAGACTTCACACTTTGCCCCATACAAATAATGCCGCCAGATTTTCAAAGCAAAAACAACTGCGGCCAATTCTAAGCCATGTTTTGGGTAGTTTTTCTCGTGCAGTCTCAACTATCAGGAGGCATAAACAATAACCTTTCCGTTCTGCATTAGCACACAACCCAAACCTTTATAAGACGCATCACTAAAAATTACAAAATTTTCTCTACCTAATGGTAGTGTCAAAATCGGTGCAGTGGTCAATCTTGTTTTCAATTCATGAAAGGCTGATTCTCTTTCATCGTTCCACTTAAAAGGTTTCCCTTTGCGTGTCAGTTGGGTAAGGGGCACAGCTATTTTCGAAAAATCTTTCACACACCTCCTGTAGTACCCAGCTAAACCCATAAAACTACGGACTTCTGTGACATTGGTCGGTGTAGGCCAATTCACAATTGCCTCTATTTTCTGTGGGTCCGCTGAAATCCCTTCCTTGTTGATGCCCTAAGAAAACAACTTCATCCAACCAAAACTCACATTTCTTTAGTTTAGCAAACAATTTCCTTTCCGTAAGTATTTGCAGGACAGTTCTCAAATGCTGTTCATTTTCAAGTCTATCTTTAGAGTATATCAAAATGTCATCAATAAAAACCACAACAAATTCGTTAAGGTAGGTTTTAAAAATTTGGTTCATTAGGTCCATAAATGCTGCCGGAGCATTAGTCACTCCAAATGGCATAACAAGAAACTCAAAATGTCCATGCCTCATTCTGAATGTGGTTTTCTCAACATCTTCCGCCTTTACCTTTAACTAATGATACCCGGTAGTGATGGCAATAAAAACCGTACCCAATGGTTACCCATGGAGATCCTACCCGAAATAAGTGGGTTTCCCCTATTTTTCTATCCATCGGGTCAGTGGGTAATCTAATTTAATTCCCCATCGGGGAATGGGTAGGGGAATGGGTTATCTCATTTCTCCGTATGTTTTGACACCCTCTGTTCAATTGTTCATAGCTAGGGTTTTCTCACTCTCTCTCACCACTCCTTGTCTCCCACTCCCACTCCAAATTAGAGTTAAGCATCGAAAGCAGCTTGAGTTCCAGTATCAAAAGCAGAGTTCTCCGGCGATCTCGTTGGCGCTTAACACAGTTCTCCAGCGTGGTGAGTTCGATCTCTCGTTTCTCTCTCTCTCTCTCTCTTAGTTCGGCTATTTTTTCTTTGTTTTTGGGTCTGATTGATTAACCCATATGGGCAAATACCTAGTTGATGATTGATTTTTGGGGAAATTTATTTTAAACTTTTGATTGATTGTCCTGGTTATTTACAAACTTGATGCTTCAGATACTGCAATTTGATGGCAAACACACGTCAAAATGGAACTTCCATAATTAACAACTTTCATTCTGTCTCAATCAGAATCAAGTGGCAGTGACAATGTCAAACTTATAAGTCATAATGGGTGTTTTAGTTGAAAATGAAAGGAGAATGAAGGGATACATCTTCCTGTATAGAAATTCTGTACAGAATTTTTGTTTGTACACCATCATCCTAACATAAAAAAACTAATGCTGTCACAATTTTTACCTTGCCACTGCCTAACCCAGTTCATCAATCATTGGATGAATCCTAGGGCCTCTGAGACAAATCTCATCTGGGTTTCCAAAAACCAGGTATGTAAATGACTTTTAATCTAGCAAAACGTAAAAATTACAATCTAAACAAAACTAACAGATTAAAATTTTTAGTTGGAGCAATTGAGGGTAGAGGCAAATCACCTGCCATTTAACTACTATTTGTCCGATGTGGTTATAATGTCAAAAGGTTTTGAAAAACAAAATACCAACTACGGATGAAAAGCTGAAGAAAATCAAATATATACGTTGAATCATATATAAAGTAGTAGATGTGGACTTTAGAAAGAAGCCCTCCCATTACCATTTGCAATATACCTGCAGATGATTGTTTATGTCCCCCCCACACTGATCCTTTTATTTGAATTTCAGGATTTGTATCATCATATCATCAACCTTTCTTTGACAATCTCTATAACCCTCCAATTTATATATATATATATATATTATGTGACCTTTTCAATAAATATATTTCCACATTGTTGGGATTGCATCGGATTGGATTGGATTGGATCTTAACAGTTCCAATTATCCATGTTTCAATGACTTACGTTGTGTTTGATTAGGGGATTTGAAGAGGAATTTGGAAAGAAAAAGGGAAAATATGTGTAAAATTAAGTGAAATTTAAATATATTTTATTCACATTTTACCTATATTTTTCATTTTCTTTTTTAAATCATTCCTCAAGTCTCCCAACCAGACGCAGCTTTAGGACTAACATAAAAGAGACTCACTTTATCCTACTTGACTTCATGTGTGTTTTGTTGAGTGCAGGTGATTATGACCCAATAATCCCCCCTTTTTTTTCTTTTGCGTGCTCTTCAAACCAAACACCTCTCAGTATTGTACCAAATATCTATAAAGCAGAGAGATGATAGTTGATTATTAGTGAGAGAGAAGTTGGTGACTCTTAAGAAAAATAAAATAAACATTTAATTGTATTTGTATGACAGAAAAATCATCACTTGTGTTGCGCATTACAAATTATAATGTTTTTAATATATATATATATATATATATAATTAATGGTGTAGGAGAGAGATGTTGAAATTAGAAAGCAGGACTAAAAGTTGGATTGGCCATTCAGGTGCTTAAGCTGTCCAAATCTAGTGCTGGTTATGTCCTGGATTGATTCTCTATTTAAATCATGTAAAAATATAGATAGATGATTCAATGATTATGAATATTTTGAGATGGGAGAATAAAAGAATTTGTTATAAAAATTTAGTGCACAATTATGATAGTTGACAATCAAGAAAAATTAAAATTTAAGTTTTTAATTAATAATGCTACAGTGATTATATTTAAATACAAAATTTTAGATGTAAGTTTTGGGGCTGTTAAACTAATATATTAATCACAAATCTATGGTATGAAAGATTTTAATACTCAAACCGTTATTTTTCTATCTTTTGTGCTATAATATCCAAAATCGATCGGACTCCTCCATACATTTTGGTTACTTCCATTTTTATATGTATGTTAACTTTAAGAAGAAGAAAAAAAATCGTATCCAATATAAGGGCACCCCAGAATTAATTAGGCATCCTCAAAAATCTTACATATCTCACCTTGTGTAATCCATCGAAATGTCTCATGTTGATTTTCCACAAGTTTATGACAATATGTGAAATCATATTTAAAAAGGATTTTTTTCTGTGAAAAATCCTTCAATCTCAAGTTTTATTGTATGGTTGAATTATGATGGGCATATAAATGTTCTGAAATAGGCCTATATAAAGTAATGTGGTTGGGCAAATCTAGCTCAGTTATTGATATTGAGTGAATAGATCTTCCATTTGTATCTATGTGAATCCAATTTTAGTTGAATTGAACTTGTTAATATAAATTGTTGGATGTTTGTTCCTTATATGGGTATGAAATCCATGTTCTAATCATTTGGTGTAACTCAATTTCTTAGAATTTGTTATTTCTTCTTCTCTTGTTTTTTCCTTTTTTATGCAAAAATGTTGTTAGGGAATATCAATATGATTATGTTTGTTCTAATTTATGTTCTTTAGGATTTTTAAGCATTGATATGTCGGAAGTTGGAGCAAACTCTCAAGCAAACTCCCAACTACCCGTTGATGGTTTACAACCATCAATATCGGTTGAAAGTGAGACCTCTCTACCATCACAACCTCCCCTCCCCAATCAAAATGTGCTTGATGTAGATGATTCTGATTCTAGTTTAGCTACTAGAAAAAACCCTAGTTCTGTGTGGCAACACTTTAAGAAAGAAAAAATTGATGGCGTGTGGAAAGCCATATGTAATTATTGTAAGAAGCATCTTGGGGGTAATCCGAAGCATGGAACTTCACATTTGCGTGATCACTATAGGAGTTGTCTTAAGAAAAGGGAGGGAATGGACATGAGACAAAGAGTTTTAACTAGCAACTTTAACAAGGAGAGTCCGAAAGTCTCTTATAGTTTTGATGAAGATATTGCTAGGAGAGAGCTTTCAAATGCCATAATCTTGCATGAATACCCTTTGTCTATTGTGGATCATATTGGGTTCAAAAGATATTCTATGGCACTTCAACCATTGTTTAAAGTACCTTCTCGAAACACAATAAAAAGTGATATTTTGAAGATCTATGACAATGAGAAGGAGAAGATAATGAGATTGGTACAGAGCAATCAAAGTAAAGTGGCAATCACAACTGATATGTGGACTTCTAGTAATCAAAAGAAAGGGTTCATGGCGGTCACAGCACACTTTATTGATGATTCTTGGTCATTGCAAAGCCGTATTTTGAGGTATATTTTTGCATATAAATTAATTTATGCTTTATTACAGATTGTTATTGCATCATATATTATATGCATATAAATTAATTTATGTTTTAAATTATGATTTTAGGTTCATTTATGTGCCATGTCCACACACAAAAGAAGTTCTTTGTGATACTTTACTCAATTGTTTGATGGATTGGGATCTTGATAGAAAAGTGTCTGCCATCACTATTGATAATTGTTCGACCAATGATGCGATGATTAACATTTTGTTGGATAAATTGAATAGTAGTTCTCTTCTTTTGGGTGGGACTTTGTTTCATATGCGTTGTTGCGCACATATTCTCAATTTGATTGTCAAAGATGGATTGGATGTGATAAGAGTAGGTGTAGAGAAAATTCGAGATAGTGTAGCTTATTGGACAGCAACTCCTAAAAGAGTAGAAAAATTTGAAGAAACAGCTCGTCAAGTAAAAAATTTGAATACTAAAAAGATGGGACTTGATTGTGCTACTAGGTGGAATTCAACATATTTGATGCTTCAAACTGCCTTGTTATATAAGGATGTATTTTACCGTTTCAAATATAAAGAGACCTAATATATAACATTGCCAAGTAAGGAGGAGTGGGAGTTCGCTAGAGAAATTTGTGGGAGATTTAAAATATTTTATAGAGCAACTGAATTGTTTTCTGGAACTAAATATCCCACAGCTAATGTTGCTTTTCCAAATTTATGTGAGATTAGGATAACTATCTCCCAATGGCTCTCTTGTTCAATTGAGGTTGTTAGATCAATGGCATCAAAAATGTTGGGAAAGTTTGACAAATATTGGGTTATTATACATGGTCTTATAGGGGTTGCTGTTGTACTTGATCCTAGATACAAACTTAGTGTGTTGGAGTTTTATTTTGATAAACTTTATGGAGATACAGCTGAAGAGGAAATTGCGAAGATTTGCCAACTTTGTTATGATTTGTTGCAAGAGTATCAAAGAAAACTTAGTTTAGGGACTGGTACTAATGTTGAATCTTCTACAAGTTCAAATTTTGGGGATTCAGAGGTAGTTTCAGATTATGATTTGTTTATTAGTAGAAAGCGAAGAAAAAAAGTCAACAATGTAACATCAGAGTTGGACCATTATTTAGAAGAGGATGTTGTGACAAGAACTCCTAATTTTGATGTGTTGACTTGGTGGAAATCAAATGCATCAAAGTATCCAACCTTACAGGCAATAGCTAGGGATTTTTTAGCTATTCCGGTATCCACTGTTGCTTCGGAGTCTGCATTTAGCACTAGTGGTAGGTTGGTGAGCCCGTATCGGAGTAGACTTCATCCAGATACTTTGGAAGCATTGATGTGTGCACAGAGTTGGTTGTGGGCTGTAGAGATGCAAGGTACTTAAATAAATCAATATGTAATTATTTTGAAAATAAATATATTTTCATTGAATAGTACTTAATTTTTTTTCTTATTTTTCAGGTAATTCAACATTGGAATCAGTTGGTTATGCTACTATATATGATGAGATGGATGTGAATCAAAGTTGATCTTTCTTTTGCATTTCTCTTGTTGGACGGCTCAAACTTTCATAGTAGGATCTTTTTACATGTTATACATTGTCTTTCAATATATAGATGTGAATTAGAGTCGAGCAACATTGTTTTCTTTGATCTTTATTATCCTTGTGTAGGTTTTGTTGCTGGAGCGTTGCTGCTGTTGAAATGCTACTGCTGCTAGAGTGTTGCTGTTGTAAGAAACTTGTAAAGACTTGGAGTTGAAATGTTAAAGAATGCACTTTGTTGAATTGGGAGCTGAAATGCCAAAGAATGTGCATTGGGAGTTTAGTGTGTTTTGCTTCTAGTTGAATTAAGCCTAACTATGAACATCTAACTACTTTAATAATTTTGTGCAATTCGTTTATGATGTTTACAATTACACAGTTAGATATTTTGACATACATGTGTATTTAGAGTGAAGTTATCCATATGTGGGTTTTGGTTGGCAAAATGTTTTTGACATTATTTTGTTGGTACTGTCTTTAAGATCTTTGTTGTGCATTTTGATTTGTTACAATTTTTTTATTTTTTTGTGTGCTACCGTTGGGATGAACATGGGTAGCTATGTATTAGTGTTGTTGATAGAGATCAACAAACAATTCCTTATTTATGCCCTGATGCAATTTATTATGGGTCTTATAACACTTTCTTCAAACAGGTTCTTTCACATTTTATTTTTGCAAACAGGTAACATTATAAATAGGTTCTTATAACATGTGGGGACAAGAGAGAAAGAGAGAGAGAGAGATGGTTGTAATTTTTTTTTTAATCTTCTACGTTCTTTCACATTTTTTTTTTCAATTACTAAAACTTATTTGATTGTCTCAAAATTATATATTTGATTATTATAAAACAAACTTTTTAATTAATTAATTCATATGTATTTGATTTTGTTGTTGAATCAAATAAAATAAAATAAGATTGAATGTATATTTAGCTTTTGTTGTGAACCTTAAAAAAAATTTAAAAAAAATAAAAAAATAAAAAAATAAGTTGTTAACATTAAATATATTAAAAAAGAAAGAAAAAAAGATTAAAGGTATATTTAGTTTTTGTTGTGAACCTTTAAAAAAAAAAAAAGTTGTTAACATTAAATATATTAAAAAAGAAAGAAAAAAAATTGAAGGTATATTTAGTTTTTGTTGTGAACTTAAAAAAAAAAAAAGTTTTTAACATTAAATATATTAAAAAAGAAAGAAAAAAGATTGAAGGTATATTTAGTTTTTGTTGTGAAATTTAAAAAAAAAAAAAAAAAAAAAATTAGTTTTTTTTGTGAACTTTAAAAAAAAAAAAAAAAAAGTGGTTGCTAACATTAAATATAAAAAATAAAAATGGGGATTAAAGTGGGTTGGGGAAAATCGAAACCCATTAGGAAATGGGGAGGGTGGTACTCATGGGGAATGGGGAAAATTTATTATAGGGGAATGGGGATAGGGAATTAATATCCACCCCATTTATCCCCATTGCCATCCCTAATACCCGGATCTCAAATCAATCTTGGAAAACACTTGTGATCCCTGCAGCTGGTCAAACAGGTCATTAATACGGGGTAAGGGATATTTATTCTTTATTGTTACCTTGTTCAATTCCCGATAGTCGATACACAAGTGTAGAGTTCCATCTTTTTTTTTCACAAACAACACTGATGCATCCCATGGTGAAGTGCTAGGTCTAATAAATCCCTTGTCAAGCAGGTCTTGTAACTGTTCTTTCAATTCTTTTATTTCAGCTGTAGCCATTCTATAGGGAGTTTTAGAAATAGGCTGGGTGCCTGATACAGTTTCAATAGTGAATTCTATCTCCCTATCCACCAATTCCCCTGGTAGTTCAATTGGAAACACATTTGGAAATTCTCTAACAATAGGCATATCATTCAATTCAGCATTTACAGATTGTTCAGACAACACATAGCACAAATAACCTTGACACCCTTTCCTGATCAATTTACATGCTTTCATTGCAGATATCAAATAAGGTGAAGGCACTACCCCGTTACCCACAAACACAATTTCTTCTTGTTCTGGTGGTCTAAACACAACCCGTTTTGTCACACAGTCAATGGTGGCACAATATTTAGTTAACCAGTCCATGCCCAGAATTATGTCAAAGTGCCTAAAGTTCAAGGGTAACAAGTCCACATATAGAATGGCATTCCCAATTCGCATGTCACAAAAACGATAGACAGATTCACACAATACCGATTCCCCAGATGGAGCAAACACACATAGTAGATATGGCAATAATTCCAGAGGTCTACCTAGTCTAGATGCAAATGCACATGTTACAAATGAGTGTGTTGATCCAAAGTCAATTAACACAAAAGCATCTTGATTACATATAGAAATGGTACCTGAGACAACTGCGTTGGCATTCCGGGTATCGCCCGGAACAAGCGCAAAAACTCTCCCTTGTCTCACGGTATCTTCGGCGGGAGTAGATCTCGTAGCATTTCCTGGTTTTGGGACTGATGCTGTCGAACTAGCAGCAAATTGTCCGCCGTTCTGTTTGCAATCTCTGGCCATATGCCTCTGTTTACCACAATTAAAACAAGCTACTGACACACGGTAACAAACCCCACGATACCTGTTACTACAAATAGTACACAATGGGGTTGTATCTCGGGAAGAATTAGAAGTATTCAAAGAGCCCGTATTTTGCTTCTTTGAAAACTTCTTCTTTGAAAAGAAGCCCTGCATTTTACTACCCTTCCAGTCAGTTGTCGGTTTAGTTTGTCTAGCTCTATTAGCTTCTGATATTATAGCCCTGTCTAGTACCCCAATGTAGGTTTCCAGCTTCAAGACATTCACCCTCTCTAGAATGTCGCTTCGAAGCCCGCCTTCAAAATGTCTCGCCTTCTTATAGTCTGTATCAATCACGTGCGGCGCAAACTTGGCCAATTCAGTGAATTTGGCCTCATACTCAGCTACAGTCATACTGTCTTGCCTTAGTTCCATGAATTCTGCCACCTTCCTATCTCGGACACACTGCGAGAAGTACTTGTCATAGAAAATTTCCAAAAATTTTGCCCAATCAGCATCTTTGTAATTCTCACGCATTAACATCCACCATCTTCTTGCTTCATCTTCTAGCATAAAGGTGGCTAGAAGCACTTTCTGTGTCTCCGAACATGGGAACACTTCAAACAGTTTTTCGATGCCGAGGACCCAAGCTTCAGCTTTCAAAGGATCTAATCCACCATGGAACTGTGGTGGTTTCATTTTCTTGAACTCTTTGGTGAGAGCTATGATTCGGTCATCATTCTGATTATCTGGCACAGGAGGTGCCGGAGGCGGAGGTGGAGGATGTGGCTGCTGCCACTGTTGTTGCCATTCCTGTTGTTGCCTCAATGTCTCTGCCATTTCCTGAATCAGTCTTTCCATTCTATCCAGTCTGGCAGTAGAAGATTCCTCTATCTCATCAACTCTTGTTCTCACCATCTGATTAAACGTGTATTATACTTTATACAAAAGATACACAGGTATGCATATACTAAAGAGCATACATAATCAAATAATTTGAAATGCAAGCAGTTCACAAACTTATAACACATAGTTGTTCACATTTAACAGTTAAGCGTATTCTTGATGCTTTCAGATTCATACTTATCATATGAATGCATCGTAGATCTTTTCTAGACGCTTATTGCTCTTTCAGACAAGTGCGTGAGTTATTAACTCGTGCTCTGATACCACTCTGTCACGACCCGAACCTGCTCCTATGGGTTAAGGCCATAACCGGCCAATAATCACGAGATTACCTACAGCCTCAAACCAATAAAACAAAACTCATCAGAGTAAAGGGGCCAAACGGAAGCAAATTTAAAACTTTGTCCATAAAGCTGTGCTTATATGCACACCATAACATTCCAAACATTTATTTGTTAATAACACACATCAAAATATGTACTAACATAGAACACTGTACATACAGGATCATACAAGTTTAAGTCAGTCGAACCCAAGACTTATATACAAAAGTAATCCAATGCTTTCGCCAACATGACAAAACTATGAACAAAGGACAAAGGCGAAGACAGTCTCGTGCATGAGACATTTGGGCTGACTCCTCAAACCTTGACTGTTTCTCACAATTTCACCGAGGCTGGTTCTGGACGTTCCTTGGCTCACCTACATGTACATGAATGAGCGTGAGCGAAAGCCTAGTGAATAATATCGAATAAGGAAAATACATAAGCAATCTTTGAAACAGTTACAGCAGATGACCTTTGGCCCAATCACTTGTATCAATCGGCCTTCGGCCCAATCGTTTATGTCAATCGGCCTTCGGCCTAATCATTTATGTCAATCGGCCTTCGGCCCAATCATTCATGTCAATCGGCCTTCGGCCCAATCATTCATGTCAATCGGCCTTTGGCCCAATCATTCATGTCAATCGGCCTTCGGCCCAATCATTCATGTCAATCGTTGTGCACCATTCAAATTAATGAACTTTCAAAACTTACATAGAAGTAAACAATTGGACAACAACCTATTTCAAATATCTTATTAAGATATTACTCACAATGATCGGTTGGTTGGTTTGCCCTGGAGCTCGACCCTACACATTTCATGAACACAAAAGGGTAACAAACAATTCAATCCGTTCTAAATTCACATTCTCCTCTTTAGGCTTCATTCTTATCTCTTTAACTCAATTACAATGCTTAATGTATGCCTAAGAGTACTTAGAAGTGAAAGAGAACAGAAAACGAAACACAGAATGTCTTTTCAAAATTTCAGAAAACAGGATCCCCGCTCGAGCGTGGACTTCCCCGCTCGAGTGGACCCATGAGGTCTGCAAAAGTACTGGTTACATCAATTTCACGCTCGAGCGTGAACTTCCCCGCTCGAGCGGAAGCCATGTCTGCAAAATATGCTGGGAGCTCGTATTTCACGCTTGAGCGGTGGTTTCCCCGGTCGAGCGGACATCAAGAATTCTGGGTTTTCCAGAATTTGTTCTTGAGCTCAATTCGACCTCCAAAGGTTACAAACTCATAATTTTTGGCTCAAACTTCATAGATACATGTACTAACATGGTACAAACACCGAATTACAACACAATGGAGCTCAATTTCACAAATTAATCATGTCTCAATCTACACCAACTTCACTTTCAACATAACAATTTCATACATTCAAGCTCATACCTCTTATGAATGGTACATCCATGTGAGATGTGGCTTCCATTTCAACTCAAATTGTACAAATGGTGGTCACAAGCATGGATTCTAGCCACAATTTTACATGGATCATATTTTTCATGCTCAATTATGCAAATTCATGGTTATTATGCACATGTAAGCATTCCATGACTTCAAATACAACAAAATCAACCCAATTTCCTTATAATCAAACTAACTCATGTTTTTGACCATTAATCAAACTTGAATTCACTATTTACAACATTAAACTCATGAATTCACTTACCTAGAGGCTCAATTCTTCCAATCTATGGTCCAATCTAGAGTTAGACTTCAAATTTCCAAGCCTTCAAGATCAAAC